TATATCGTGCAGCACTGGAACCTGTGAGATCTGGGAAGGGCACGCCTGGTTCAGTCTGGGTCCTAACAATCTGACATTTTAATAGATGCTCAAACCATCTTTCTTTGAACTCTCATTTTTAAAGTATGCTGCTTCTTCCCTTTTATCATCATGTTGTTAGGGGGAGGGAAATCCTGCCACTTTTAAATTAGATCTGAAGACACAAGACTGGGAACAAAGAGAGGAAGAGAGCAGAGTGGCTGTTTGGGAAAGCTGCATGGATTCGGAAGCCAGAGGGACACAATGGTCAGCATGAAAACAACAGGGAATACTTCAACTGCCCTGAACTCTACTGCAAATGGTAAAAAACATGGTTCAATTCAAATCCAGTTAAAAGTAGTCCTCAGGCTCTTGCAAATTAGCCCTACATAGCAAGTGTGGTCTGTGACAAAGTTCTTTACTAGCTTTTCAACACAGTGGCTTACAATCATTCAGACTTCTTTTAATGATAAAATGATACAGTCTATAGATGGAAGAGGTGGTAATGAAGTGGGTGAGGGGAGACTGTGATTCATTTTATTAGGCTGTTGTTTTTGATGTGTCTGGATGTTTGCAGTGTTGTTGTTTTTTAATCTTTTTGGTTATTGGAGAGAAAAAAAAATAGAGCAGTCCACTGCCCAGCAGGGGCTGCATCGACTCTTGGTCCCGGCTCACTCGGCATGGATCTGGGGCTCGGGGTGCTGCAGGGACAGCTCTGTGGGGAGGTACGCCCCTTGGCCCAAAGCTGTAGCATATGTCCTGTTCTGTGAGTGGGGGAAACCAGGAGGTGCGTATGTCCCTAGGCCTCCTCCAAACATGGCTCGCGGGTGCTGTGGTAGTGAGTGATAGTCCTCCAGGTTGTCATACTGGGACATGACAGTCATACTGCTCTGGCGTTTGCTGGGCATCTGGTACTGGTACAGTGCCCCAGGCTCCCGCTCCACGGCTGGGGTGGGATGAAGCTTCAGGCTGTGACTCCGCTCTGGCTTGGGTGGGGGGACCACGGACTGTGAGAGGTGCTCTTCTTCCTTGAAACAAGCTCTAGAGTGATTCTCTGGGGCTGGAGTGGGCCTCACTCTGGAACGCTCCAGCTCTCTGGGAAGCCTCACTTCCTTGTGGGCCAGTCTAAGTGTGTCCTGCCCTGTTGTGATATACTTCCCTCCAGAGTTATGGAAGTTGACTGGCTCAGAAGTGTCTGGAAGCCCTTTGGGCCCATAATCTAACTGGGCAGTGCCCTGGGGGTAAGGAGGCCCATTTTTGGACTCACACAGTTGCCGATGGCTTGCTTCCTGAAGGGCCCTATGCTCGGGGAGGACACAGCCCTTGTCATGAATCTTTCTGTTCCTGAGGCTGCTCTGCTTCTGAGGGAGGGAGGGTTTTTCTGGCTGCCCATTGCCATATCCTCCATGATGGTGAGCTCTTCCCAATTCTGGTTCTGGATGTTTCCTATAGAAGCGGTCATCGCCCTCAGGACTCACAGCCTTCGCTGGGAGCTGTCCATCTTTTCCTTCTGCCACTGAGAGAAGTCCAGTTTTCCCAGGATCCGATTTACTGCGGAGGTGGATGACATAAACTCCACCCAAGTCGTCCTGCACAGCTGGGGTCATGTTGTCATACTGGGACATGATCGGCCCTTTCACCTTCTGCCGAGCACGGCTCTCTCTCCGGATGGACTGCATGCGGTATTTTTCCAAGTCCTCAAGATCCCAAGAAGGGTAAGTGTGCTTTATGTCCGTGGTTGGAGGCATGTTCACCCCATTATGGTCATTACCAGAGAAAAAGCCAATCACATTGGCACGGGGACGAGGGGGCAAGCCAGGATAAGCGTATGGATTCTTTCCTTGTCTGGAATTATGGAAGGCCAAGTCGCGGGTGGGTTGGTGGTGAAGAGGCCTTAGCTGGATGGTGCCATAGGCATCCACATCACAAAGGGCTCCATCTGGACTGTAATAGGTACTGGAGCTGGAATATGGGCTGTACCGGTAGTGGACCCGACCATTCTCAAAGTAAGGCTGAAGCTGAGTGACGTGGTAATCTGAGCGGGCCTGGGAGGACTGGTATGGCTTATATTGGTACAGGGGTCGTGGGCAGTAGGCTGGTTCATCATCAGGGGGCACTTCTGTCCGTGAAATGGGAACCGATCGGACCATGGATGATGGGGGTACATGGAGAGATTGTACCCTTCGTATAGTGGGGTAGGGTGGGATACCTTCGGGGTAACAAGCATTCCTAACAGAGGAGCCTAGAGAGGAGATATAGTCAGCCCGGCCACAAGGCTTGGTGTAGTGCCCGGCCACACTTCTTCCTGGGGCCATGTATGTGTTGTAGCGAGGTCCCACGGAGGCTGGTGGCTCGGACCTTGACCCATATGCTTGGTGCTGTTCCAGTTTATTATGGTGTGGGGGCACACTCTGGGGACGGTACTGGCAATTTGGAGTCATACTGAAATGCAAACAGTTTTCTGGACCATAGGGTTCAGTGGTGATATTAGGCCTGACAAATGAAGAAAAAGATGCTTTCTGAGAAACATGCTTAGGATGTGAGGCAGGAAACTGCAGAGGCAAACCATCATCCACAGAGGCTGAAGAAGCAGCGACAAAGGAGTGGTAAGTGGGACCGCAGGAGGCCTCTGCACTGGTGCCGTGGGCGGCTGCTGCAATCCTGCTCTCCATGGTCCTAACTGGAGGGGCAGGTGCAGTGAAACCACAAGAGGCATGCACCGGGACACACTCGGTCAGGAGGTGCAGTGGGGGGCCTCTGGAGCCTTCCCAGGCTTTCTCAGGGAGTCCTGTGTTGACAGCAGCCACAGAGATGGGGCACTGAGCAGAAGTACCACCATCATTGGCAAACACAGGCACAGGCTCATCAATGGTTCGCGGCTCAGGTGGCCTCTCTGGAACTGGAACTATGCCCGGAACCTACGGGAAGATAAGAAATCTATGAGCGTATTGTCCATGGCTCTGCTTGGGGAATCAAACAGTATTACATTTGTAACTTTTATGTGGAGGTAATACTGGGCAGCTGCCTGAAGTTTCCCAAGCCACGTGGTCATGGTAAGGCTGCTTCTTTCACATTAAGAAAGGCATCCTATGCTGCTATTTCATGCAAAAGCCACTGCCATCTTGAAGAACTGTCCAGTGAAATGATATGATCTTAATTTTCTTAGTACATGATCCAAATAAGTACTAAAAAAACATTGCCCAGTTTCAACATGAAGGATATTTTGTTAAAGAGTTCATTCCATCTTGAGGGGTTCCCCAATGAGTCAGTTTTGTACTGTCAGCAGTTAGAAGCCCCCAAAACAAGGAGGGTTAAAGTGGCCCATCTAAAGCAGCATTTGAATCAGCACTGCTCCCTCTCCCTGCCCTCCTCCCAACCTGCCCTGCAGAAGCAGCAGCCAAACACATGTGCTACCCTAAAGACACAGTGGAGTATGATGCAATGGTAAAAACCACAAAGAGCTTGTAGAACACCACACAATGTGGATGAGTCTGGATGATATTATGTTGAATAAGGACAAATGCTGTGGAAAACCACTGTCATGAAAGGGAAGAGAAAGATCAATCTACAGAGAGAATAAATCTAGTAAGTGTACCAGCGAAGGGTTGGGAGAAGGAGAAAAGGAACTGATAAACAGTGCATACTTCCTGAGATGGGTGAAGGGCAGGACAATGAGAAATGCCTGGGCAATCAGATACTGTGCATGGTGCGACTGGGGCTGAGGAACAGAATGTGCAAGAATGGTTGTAGGTGGTGGGTGGAGGGAGGGGCTGAGAAACCATGTACAGGAATGAAATACATGTCAACAAAGTATTGTATGCAAAGCAGTAACAAGAGAATGAATAGGAAAAGAAACCACCAGCAACAAAAAGTGCTGGAGAAGTGGTGTGTTTCACTAAAAGGCAAACACTCCTCAACCCCATTACTACTGACTCAGAACTGACTCACAGCTGACTTTCCAGGAGACTGTCAGAGGTTGTCAATTGTACAGGAGGAGACTGTTCACTTTCCTGACATGCAGCCACTGGTGGATTTGAACCACCAGAGAGGCATCACTTTTTGGGTGAGCAGAGCAACTCTAAAATGACTATGCCACTTCAGGTCCCTAGTGTGTGCTACTGAGGATGCTCTATTCAAGTTCTTTTAGTTCAAGGTGCCTAAAAACTCTCAGGCACTTAAAAAAATATAAAGAATTTATTAGGGAAAACGCTAAAGTGTGCAAAAGGGACAGCACTGAAAAAAATTATGAAGATGAGAGAGATAAATGCAGTGTGTGTGTGTGTGAGAGAGAGAGAGAGAGAGAGAGAGAGAGAAGATGGTGAAGGAGCCCTGTTAAGCCATAATTCTTTAACTAGAAGAAAAGCAAGTGTTAGAACCATATTAGCTCTGCTGAGCCTGGAAGAAAAAGAGCATTGAAATGAAGGTGAGATATGAGAGCAGCGATCAAGTTTGTGTTATTAACTATTGTACATTCACTCATTCCTAATTTTAAGTGCTTAACTCAAAACTAAAACCCACTTCCATCTCTCATAAAATTGATTCCAACTCATTCTCCATCAAGTTTCAAAGACTGTAAAACTACAGGAGGAGAATGCCTCAGTTTTGTTGTGTGGAGCAGCTGACAGATTTGAAATGCAAGACTTTCGGTCAGCATCCCAACACGTAGTCCATTACACCATCAGAGCTCCTTACTACAATGATTACTCTTGTTGTTTGGTGTCATTGAATGTCTTCTGCTTATAGAGAGCCTATGTGCAACAAAACACACCCTGCCCATTCCTTTACTTTCTTCACAGTCTCTGCTATACATAAATGTGTTGTTAATTCATTTTGTTAAGGATCAGCTTAATGTTTGCTAACATAATTTTCTAAACATCATGTTCTCCTCCAAGCAGTTGGGAAATATTTGCTGAAGAAAGGAAGGAATTAGATAGAAGAAAGAACAAAGAAGAAGGGAGGAGTTAAGAAAATGAAGGAGACAATAATTGAAAAGAGTTGTTATGAGCCATTGAGTTGCTTGTGACTCATAGCGACTCTAGGTATATAACAGCCCTGAAACCTGCTCTATCCTGTGGCAACTTTACTCTCTCTGACACACCTATCCTCATTACCCCAATCACTTTATCAATCCCTTTCATCGATGGTCTCCCTTTCTTTCTCCATCCCTCTACCCTTCCAAGCATGATGTCCCTTCAAGCACTTTTTAAAAAAGAAAAAAAATTAAGAAGAAAGTTTAGTATTCTGCAAATAGCATGCATTCTTTTAAGGAAACAGGCCTGGCCTTTGGAACAATCTGTTCGTTATCATTGGGGAAATAAGGAAAAGTAAGAGAAGTGCTTTCTTTCATATCTAGCGAGTCTGCTGGCAGTGTTACTGAGGTCTCAGCACCCAGGTGTCCACATACTGAGGACTTGAGTGACTAGCAATGGGTGGTGACCTGCCCAAAGTCATAGAGAGTCAGTGAGAGCTGAAAACAACTCCCTGCAACTTCAGCAGCTGCAGCCCCATTTGACTCATCTGATTGTGACCTTGTGTTGCTAGGAAAAAATGCCTGCATCATTTAGGAAGCACGCATAGACAAACCTCAGTCCCTAAGTCGCTATGCCTTCTCAAAGAAAACCATCAAGACAGCAGCAGCCTCTGACTTGAAGCAGGAAACATTTCAAGAAAACCTTTCAAGGAAACGTTTCAGGACCACATGTGACACAGCCTGCTGAAAATGTCATGTCTGTGTAAAAGCACACTTCATTTCCTTTGACCCGGCCCTTCTTACCTTGTAGGGGTTACTCAGTTCTACACTGGCTGCTGCTTGGACCTGTCCCCCGGAAAGCAGCTGCTCTGCAGACTTCTGGGAAGGCAGTGAGGGTAGGGGCCGGCCAGTCCTGTGGGAGTGCTGGAGGGTGCCCACAGCATGGCTGGCTGCAGTGGGCAGCTCGGCCACATTCCAGGCAGCTTCCCCAGTAACGGCATCAGCTGCAGTTGTAATGGTTGACATGTAGGGCATGGTGGCTGTGATGGGATTTCCCTCGGGGGACCCAGAATGAGGGTAAACTTTGTCCCTAGGCGAAATGGAAGAATTGTCGGCAAGTTCCGGGGCGTGGTGGGACCTCTCCACTCTTGTGCCCAGATGTGCAGCTGGCTGGTCTCCACTGTAGAGATGGGGGTGAGAAGGGTGAGAAGGGTCTTCCTGGTCCACAAAGGAGATGGCTGGCACAGTGGGCTTCCCAGACTGGTCTTCAGGGAAACACCCAGGATCATTAGACTTCTCAGGGTCTGGCAAGGGAATGACAGTGGCATGGGCTTGCTCTCGGTCCCCAGTTAAATAAGTCTGATGTGGCTGATTTCCTGGGGAGTCTGCTTGGTAAAGGTGCTCCCCACACTCAGGTGCCTCACTGTGGGGTTGGCATTCAGCAGCTGCTGGGTCTCCTGCAGGCTGTCCACAGATCCCAGACACACTGTTTTGGGGGGGCAGCTGCTCCACGGCCATGTCAGCTTGGTAACAGGCCCTATCTAGAGGTACACTAGGGGAGGAATTGGGTGGTTTATCTTCAGTTGCAGCCACTGCTGTGTCTCCATAATCTGCAAACCCAGACTGAGAATTCCCTGGTCTCTTGAAGGACTGTGTTGAGGCTTGCTGTGCGGACTCAGCTAAAGCTAATGCCAGCATGCGGGCAACGCTTTTCGGAGGCGGTGGTGGTGGGATAAGAGAAACTGAACTGACGGGAACGTAATCCTGAGGGGGGTCATGGGTAACTGCTCCTAGTAGGAAATTGGGAAAAAAATGAAAGTGAAAAGGTAGCTTATGTTATTCTATATGGAAAGCCAAACATTCCCCATGTGATCATTTAAAAATAGGTGCTTTCCATTTTTCAAAATGGCCATCCATGATCTTCTATCCCACATGCAAATGTTGTAGAAAACACATCTAGTTCAGAAGGAAACGAAAACCAAGCAAATTTTGAGATCTCGGTTTCCTCTTGAAGTGCTACAGAGATGAGGATAACAGATCCCTCACCTGGCTCAGAAACAAGACTCAAGTGCCTTCAGAATGTTACTAAGATGGGTTTCTTACATTTGATGGTATAGGCTGGTTTGTTTACTTGTAAGACTATTATACAGATATCTATTAGAAAATATAATCAAGAGCTACAAACTTGTGCAAAATTTTTCCATGAATTCTGACTGTCCAGAAAAGAAAGGGACTTTATGAAGTACTGCAGGAGGGCTAATAGCCCTTTGGCTGCTTTTAATTAAGGGCTTTGCACCATTAGCACCAGCAAAGCTCACTGTGATGCACTTTCCTTTCTAAAGGCACAGGTGGCACACACGATGCAAGAGCCCTCTCAACTTAGAGAAAGAATGGAGGAAAATACACAGTACCTGTCTGTGCCTGTCCAGCAGGTACGGCCTTACACTGACTGCTTGGGATGGCCTGCACTTCTCTCCCTGGCAAGACCACCTCTTCCACAGCCACCTGGTCCAGGGCCTGGGCTTCAATTTCACATTCTTCTTGGGCTTCTTGCTCACTTGTATTCGTCTTTAGTACCTGGGTAAGAAATAGTTTTGTGGCATCACTTTCTTCTACGCTTTTGTTCCAGGTTGGAGTAGATGTATTCTGAGTGGCCAGGTCAGAAATTGCAACAACGACTTCAGATACCCGAGCAGGAAGGGTGACTGAGATTGGTTCAGATATGTTCATAGAAGGCGATTTGCTTAATTTCCGTCCAATCTTTGGAGAGAAAGCATACACGACCTTTTCAGTGAACGATGGTTTGGAGGAGTGATCTTCAGTTGGACTCAGGTCCAGGGTAAAGAATGGACTCAGTTTTTCCTGAAGAGGAGAGATAGGTTCAGAACTTGCAGTGCTTCCTGGAGTCTGAGACTGGCTTCCACCTCCCTCTGCTTCTCTTTTATTGGGACTTGGTTTATCCTTGGAGTATCCTAATGAATCTAAATATGAAGTACCACTTTCCAGACATTCTGATTCAGCCTTTGGGGGGCTACACTGAAATGACATTGGGTCAAAGTCCAAGCTGGCCACTCCAATGTCAGGTGGGCTCAAATCCACATCCTCGGCTGAATGAGGAGACACGAGCGCTGGGATGTGGAGCAGCCCGACCTCATCGTCACTTTGGTTGTCCCGGGGTAGGTTATCATAGGAATTGCAGCGGTTCCCCAGCGGTTCCCCATTAAAGGAGGCAGAGAGTGCATCACTGCTTGACCGGGGTCTTTGGGGTCGGAATAGCTTGGAATCACCTGGTGAAATGGAGAACAGTATCAGGGTCGGAACATACAAACTATTACAGCATATCACTCATTTCAGGAGCAGCTCACTATGTGGAGTAAGACAATGTCACTGCTCACTTCCTTCGGGTCTCTTTGTCCTATAGATCCTTCAAACTTCAAGTAAATAAAAGAACTTTCAAATCACATTTAAAATAATCATAGGGATACCTTGATATTTCATGATTTGAGCAAGAAAAAAAGACCTAGAACTCGTGGATTCTTATTGCTCCAACACTGACAATTTTTGTGAGTTTGGGTAAGTTTTTAAAATTTCTTTGTGTCTCATTTTATCATTGTCTCACATATGAATTGTGACGCAAAATTAATCATTTTAAATACGGCACCATCTGTAAAAGTTGAAAATTCTATAAGGTAGAAAACTGCCAGAGAAGGGAAACTCAACTATTTTCCATTAAAATGAGCTACAGCTAAGCTGTAACAAAGCACTGTGTCAAAAGCAGAAAACTGCAAGACCCCAAAAAACTAGCTCTAGTCCCAGCTCTCACAAATTTCAGGGGAAGGTTCTAATATTTAATAGCAAAAGGTGAGGCTTTATTAGCTTGTTTTCTTCCTCAAGGAATAATACTCTTATTTCTAAAACACTGAATTTCTTGATTAATGGATTAATACATTTCTTGTCCTCCTTTAATAAGAACAGGCCTTAAAATTCTCAGGCAGAGTGTTCAACCGTGGTAACAAGTATTTTACAATTCTATGTTGTAAAATAACCAATTCAATAAAGATTTCTGAATATTCTATTTGAATTATTAGTTTTGTCATGATGAAAATGTAGTATAAATAGGCAAAAGTGGTCTTACAAAAACCACATTCATTAATGTGCTGACCACTTATACAATTTCTACAACAAATATTATTTTCTGCCCAATACTACCATCTACTCAGCCCACTGTTTTTGCAGATCATTTTCTTGACTTCAGTGAAATGAAAATCTAGGAAAACATGTAAAATAACAGTCACTTAAATGCGATGAGAATGTCTTTGCCATTTATCAATGAGTCTGGCTGTCAGAAGAACTGATGAGTGAAGATGGAAAATTGACCAGATTGATGATACTTCAGAATACTGGGAAAGAACTAGATTTAAATATCAAAAGAATAGGGTAAAAAGTCCTTGGGAAATGAGAGAAGTATTTACTAATTATTACCAAAAGCACCTTCTTCAGAATTCTGCTACACAAGAGAAATGTCAAGTGGAGAATGTCCTATACTGATATTAAATGTTTTGTAAACAAAAGAATTATAACCTTTTCTAAATCAATACTGAAGTCTTTCTTCATTTTAACATTTATACACACACACACACAAATATAGTTCAACTTTTGCTGAACAGAGAGACTAGTCTTCATAATTTTTTTCTAGTTTTGTCTTTCAAATTCAGCTGCAATCAAAAGATTTTTCACAATATATTCTGAAATGTTAGGGAGCTCAGGTAGTATAGCTGATGGAGTTGTGATGCCAACCCAAAGCCCACGTGTGTCAGGCAGCCTGAACCCACCATAGGCTCTGAGGTAGAAAGGACAGTTCCCACCTTCTTGCAATTTTCAACCTCAGAAATCCAGTAGAGCTGGAACTGACTCAATAGCAATGAGTGAGTTACTATGAAATGTTGACCCCATTTTAAATGGATCCACTTTAAGTTGCTCTCTCTGCTCTCTGTATGGATTAGCTGCAGATAGCAAAAACTTCCTATAATAAATCAGCTCTCTGAAACTTAACATAACGTTAAACCAATTTCAAGACAAATGCCTACTGATCTAAATCTTAAAAGGGTGTGATTTTATACTTGGTAAAACGGTCCTCAGAGTGTCAAATTCAAAGAATGGTTTTTCAATAAATGATATGTATAAATGGTTACCCTAAACCATTTGGAATGTACATATGCAAACTGAGTAATAATCATGCCAGCAGATTAACAACTGGTATATATTTAAATATTAATGACTTTTAATCTGAACAGCACTGAACAGATAGTGTGGTTGATGTGTTTGCATGCTAAACTTTCAGCAATGTTGTTAGCTGTCACCAAGCTGATGATGATTCATTGTGACCTGATGAACAATACAGCAAAACTGTGCCCTATCCAGGACCACCCTCATAAACTCTAACATGCTCCAGCCCACTGTTACAGTATGTGTCTAGCCTTCTTGTTGAGGGTCTTCCTCTTTTTCTCCAACCTGATGGTAATGTGATGCTGTATTACATGCTGTCAAGTTGAGTATGATTCATGGTGATCCTATGAACAGATGTGAACCCTGTTCTTTCATGCACCGTCACCCTCATATCGGACATATTTGAGCTCATTGCTGCAATCAATATATTAGCCTATTTGTTGAATATTCATAAAATATACTTCACTGTTCTGTTCATTTATGAAACCTCAGAAAAGAGCCTTACCATCACCTGTATGAAGAGAAGTAAGAGACTCCTCACTTTTAGCTGAACGGAGGGTTCCTTCTGCTCTGCCACCTAAAGAATTAAAATCAAATGATGTGAAGTTTTAGTATTTGTTATTATAATATATAAGGAAAGAGAAGAATGTGTTTGGTTTTTTTTTCTTCCTTTGTACATGTTTAAACTTTGAAGAGTAGTTTGGGATATATTTAGTCAATCCTATTCAATGTCAGCATCCTATTATACCATGCTGCATTGCTTTTACCTTTTCCTGTATGAAAAAAAATCTCTTTTCCAAAGGATTATGAACTTGCAAACAGAGGAAAACAAAAAGACCTTAATGTTTCCTAAAGATCATGCACTAGTATGGGGGTGGGCTGAATGTGCTTCCACCTTTTAAATTCACGTCCATTTCAGGATGACATCAGATAAATGGAGAGTGACCCTGACATCAATGACTGGTATCCTGGTAAGACAGGCAAAAGATAATAACATACTGAGGGAACGTGGCCAGGTAAGGACAGGTGAGGATTGAAGTTATGCTGTTAAAAATCATGCAGTGCCCGGAGTCACACAAAAAGGGAGAAAAGAAAAGACAGTATATTCTCACTTAGAGTCTTCAGAGAGCACAGGGCCTACTGCCACAGTGCTTCCAGAGCTTAAGATAATTCATTTCTATTGTCTTAAACCAAGTAAAACTCAAACTCACGGCCATTGACCAGGACCAACTCAAAGCCTAATCTCTACTGGATTTCTGAGGTTGTGAATCTGATGAAGGAGACCACTTGTGGATTCAAACTGCCAAAACAGCAGCAGGACCTGTGGGTCTACAGTACAATTCCTTAGGAACGACCCCACAAGAGCTCCCTTAGTTGGCAGCCCCTGGAAACCAGCTTGGTGGTGTACTGTGTAAGACACTGAGTTGGTAACTCAAAGGTCTGCCACTAAAATCCACCAACTGCTCCAAGGAAGAAAGAGGGACAGGCTCCTTTTGTAAACACTTACAGTCTGGGGAACCTGATGGGAGGCTGACACTAGTCGACAGCAGGCTTAGGAAATTAATACAAGGACGTAAGTAGTATTTGTGGAGTACTGCTTGTTTAGTATCTTCATCCTCATTCACTTCCTCACAGGACCTCACACCGCTGACCCCTCCTCTAAAATCTCTCCTCCATTATTTCCCTTTCCTTCTCTTTCCCCACTTCTTTAAACACTTCTCTCCATCCTTTTGCATTGCTGTTCTCTCTAATTCAGTCCCCACATTGCTTCTCTTCTTATTCAACAGCTTCATCTCTGGACAATTAACTGTATCCCTAAAATTTTAACTTCTACATGTGTGCAGATTCCTTTCAAATGTGTATCTCTGTTAAACCCCTTTGCAGAATTTTAGACCCATCTTAATGCCTTTCCTGTTGCTGCTGTGTACCATCGAGTCAGAGCTGACTCACAGCTGATCCTCTGGTGGGTTTTCAGAGGCAGTAAATCGCACAGGAGGGAACTGCCTGGTTTCCTCTGCACAATAACTGGTGGGTTCAAATTGTGAAGCTTCAGGATTGCGATGCAGATTCCTACCACTAGGCCAACAGCACGCTTAATTCACACATTATTTTTCTTTTCAAAATGCTACTACTCCTTATAGGCTTACTAGCATTACCATTGATCTTGTCATTTAATCAAAAACCTGAAAAATAATTTTGTTCATCTCCTCCCTCATCCTTCACAAGCGTTTGGTTGTCAATGATAATATATTATGCTTGCTTAAAGCCTTGTAAATCCCTTCTCTACATCTTTTGCTACTGCTTAATTCAGGCATCATCACTTCCTGTTTAAACAATGACAACAATCTCCGAATTGTCCAGACTCCAGTCTTAGTTCCTTTACATATGTTCACTAAGGTGGTGTTGAAGTCATCTTTCTTAACCACAAACTTGATAATGTCAAATCATTCAATAAATCTCCTTGGAGTATAGGAAAAAAAGGAAATATTTTCTCAAGGAATACAAAGCTTCAGAGACCAGAATCTCTTCTTACACCGCCATTCAGCCCAATGCTGTAGTGTACGTCATTCTCACACCAGGCTGCACTTGCTTCCATTTTTAGAAGCTCCTCCCTTGACCCCTGGTCTGTTAGGTGAATCTACCCCTATTCTTCAAATGCCTGTTCCTTACTGTCAGGCCTCTTCCAGTAAGAACTGGCAATTCCTGCCATGTTTATTTCAAGAGCTACTAGTCTGCAGGGACATTTTCATATAGATAGATAGATAGATAGATAGATAGATAGATAGATAGATAGATATAGATATATATAACTTCACAAATAAATTCTGAAGGCAGAGAACGTATTTTAATGTTATAGTCTGTTACAAAATAACTGATACACACTTCACACACATTTGTAAACAGAAAAGATGCTGAATTTAAGTGAACTGAACACTATACTTCTAGCATTACTAAGAAAAAACTTAGTTCTAGCTTCCAGGATTCAGAAGCTAATATCAAGCATGAATTTTAAATTCTTCTTAAAAGAGTACTTTTTCTTGTTTAATTCTTCTGCAGATAGTTTTCCAATTTTGCCAACACCATTTGTTAAAAAGGCTGTCATTTCCCCACCTAACTGATTTCATCTCTTTGTCAAAAATCAATTGCCCATAAATAGATGGGCTGATTTC